ACACATTTTTAAGTTTTAAGTTACTTTCAGACTTTAGCTTATTTAATGTCACTAATTGATCTAATATAAAAGTTCCTTTTGAATCTTTTACTCAGACTAAATGTCATACAAGTCAGTAACTATTTTTAAAATGAAATAAATTCCCTATTTTTCAGTCACTGGCTATTTAAAATTACTCTATTGCAGACAAAATAGAAATAAAGAGAATGAGTGCATATAATAGTTAAGGAAAAAATAGTCACAATATCAAATTTGGATAAATTATTATATAAAATTGCTAATCAAAATAAATCTAAAAGTGTTTAAGGTATGGTTTCAAAATTTGTCCTTGGAGGCAATATGGAGAAATATGCCCTCACTGGTATGACTCTGTTGGTTAGGCATTGTTATGCAAAGCAAAAGGTTGCCACTTAGATTCCTGTTCAGGGCACATGCCTGGGCTATGGATTTGGTCCCTGGTTAGGGCATATGTGAAAGGCAACTGAACAACGTTTCCTTCTTTCATCAATGTTTCTTTCCTTCTCATTTTTCCTCCCTACTTCTCTCTGTAAAAAGAAGTATATAAAAACCTTTTAAAAATTATGGAGACATTTAAAAATGTATAAAATCTAAATTCATAATATAACAACTAATTGAAAGTATAAGCTTATGTGAAAATCCATGGTATGAAGATAATAAATAAACACCTTACAATATGTTGGTATTTGTACAAAATTATTTAATATTCATTTATTGGATTTAAAAACAAAAGTTAATTTGGAAGAATATTTCTTTGCTAACATTGTCTATTAAAAATTGACTATTTGGTTTATAATTTCATCTTTTTTAATTTTAAATATTATAAAACCAAACTAAATATTATGATAAACTTAAAAAAAAGCACCACACATAGTTAACATGAAATAATGATTCTCCTTTATATTCCTTATCATATAGGCACATTAAGAATCAACAGATATTCATAAAAGACAAATATCTGTGAAATAATAGTTGAATAACCAGATGATCTTGAGAAAGTTCAGGTTGAATACAGTCAGAGTTCAACCTTCTTCCTGCTTATCTAGATCACACCAAATGTCATCTTGATTGAACAGGGTATTTGCTGGCCCAAGTGAGACCACCAACACATACTCACACCATAACACACCACATCAGAATCGTGGCTGAACCCAACTGTTATGATAGAGAAGCACTGATGTGTTCAGGATACAGGCACTTAACTGTTCTGAAGCTATCTGCCAAGAACTTTGAAATCACGCCTATTTTCTTGAGTTTCTGCTTACATTTAAAGTAATGTACTATGTAGAGAATAAAAATTACCTTATTTAATGTGAAAGGACTCTTACATGATGTTATCTTTCCACCAATATTAATTTGGGGAAAAAAGAAATTATATTGCTTGAAACACATCCGTGAAGTTTGGAGTGTGTGTTTAAAACTCAAACTCTGAGTAATTATTTGGAGTATTGTGTGCTTGTTCAGTCTTAACCTTGAGCAGTTTCTGAGCCACAGAAACTTTGAAAATTTACTCTATGTAGAGATTCTGACATACAGATATTTCTGAAAAAAAGGAAAATAAAGAAAAAAGGCAAAGAATAAATCTGCTGTGCGAAAGCCTAAACTGCCCATCAAGTAGATAAAATAAAGCATCTAATACTTCCCAATTTCACTAGGGAGAGGAGGAACTCACAAACTATTACAGCTGTTTCCAGAAATGATGGTAGTTGCTGTACAAAACTCCAAGCTCTTGCTTGTTGTTAAACTTGATTTACATTTCAGTCTTTTTGTAATTTTGGCTTTAAAATTACGTTGCTCTAAATTTTCAGGATTTGTGTTTTCAGAGCTGCCTAATAACAATTAGCCCATTATTCCCTTATCTCTGAAAGATGCCCCATCGAACAGTAACAAAGAATGGGTGTTACATTAAAGTCCATCTGGTTTGTTTAACTGTGGGTTCTGCCTTTATTAGATGCATAATAAGGGCTATAGTCCAGAATGATGGAAGTCAGGTTTTCTAAGAGCAAAGTTAAAATTTTTTCACTAACTTCTAACATTTTAAAATAACCTGACACTATCTATAAAAAACTTGCAATTTCCAGATGACTCTAAAATCAACCCACTAACAATTAAAAACAGCTTTTTTATTGCAACTGAATTCTTTTTATTACAAGGAAATACACATTTCAAAGGCTTATTTATTTATTTATTGGTAAATATCCCTGGTTACCTTTTCTGTGAAAAATGACTCTCCCCTCTAAGTTTAATTATGCTATTAATTTATTACAAAGTGTGTAGAACTTTTGATCTATTACACTCAGTTTACCAAAATAAAAAAATCCTATGTTGTAGAACTTGAGAATTCCCTAGGTTATAATGAGAATTTTAACACCTATTTTTTGTGAATGATGTGAAACTGAATATTATATTCTGTATTTGTGTTTATAAAATGCTGTTGCTCTCCAATATTGTTATATTTTTGCAATTTGTAAAGGGAGAGCAAAAGAGAGTGACTACTTTCAAATGAGGTTCCTCAAGCACAAAGAAATAAGAAGCCAGTAAGCTATGGTGTAGTATAGCATTAAAAATATAGGCTTTTGCTCTGGCTGGTGTGGCTCAGTGGACTGAGCACCGGACTATGAAGCAAAGGGTGGCCTGTCCAATTCTCAGTCAGGGCACATGCCTGAGTTGCAGGCCAGGTCCCTGGTGAGGGGCTTGCGAGAAGCAACCAAACATTGGTGTTTCTCTTCCTGACCCTCTCTCCCTTCCCCTCTCCCTAAAAAATAAATTGTCTTTAAAAAAAAAAATACAGGCTTTTGTGTTTAAACTCCAGTTCTACCAATGTAGAGTTGTGTAACTGTTGGAAACTTACCTAAATTCTTTGAGACTTAGTTTTCTCATTTAGGGGGTGTGTGCGGGGGGAAGGTACGTATGTACTTCACAGAGTTATCATGAATATTCAACTAGATGTATTTAGCTTTGAATTCCATTCACTGCCTTGCTTCCTACCCTAATGGGTTTTTTTTTTCTCTAGGACAGAAGCAGGTTATAGCTCACTAATGGTTCCTCTTCTTTTCCTCTCATTGTCACAGGTCAACTGGAAGGGGATCAAAAAGACTGCTTAGCAATTAAAACTGTCCTGCTAGGTTACATTCAGAAATCAGTCTCAATTTAATTCCTTAATCCTACCTACTATGATTATTTTAAGCCCCATGTATCTTTGTTGTCTGGTGGAATTCAACTAAACTTTTTTTTGGTTGATTGCTGTTGAGTCAGGGTATATAAACGTTTTTCTCATTTAATTCCTAACAGTTTGGGCGAGGCAGAAGATGAGCACATTTGGGAGGTAAAGTAGTGTGCCAGGATGTTATAGACACCTTAGTATCATTACTTATTAGTTATGTGACTTGGGGCATGGTGTTTCTGAATTTCAATGTCTCAATTATCACCTCAATCATTAACTATAAATAATGAGGGCACTGGTACCCACAAAATGCCGCTGAGATTACTTTAGGTTCAGGTTCAAAACTTGTCTAGGGTAAGTACTCAATATATGTTTTCTTTTCCCAACTGTCATGTTTTCCCCATCATATTTCTTATCATGGTTTCATGGAAAATTATTTGAATGACAGATATGTTAATGCCATTATTTTAATTATTTAATAACATAGATATTAATATTTGACTAATCTTGCATTTTTAAAACACTACTACCTCATACAGCAACTTAGAAGGCGTGAAATTTAAAGTGTTGTAGAAACCCTTCCCACTTCTCAAATGATGCATGTTTCTAGAATTCTGTTCTTTGTGGATGAAGTAAAGCCAAGTTAAAGTTTCTGTAATGGATATGGAGCTTTTATTTCATTACTCTAAGAAAGGCAAAGGGTAGCTTATGATCTGAGTATCATCATCAACTCAAGATATAGGAGCAGTTAAACTCTTCAACTAGGTGCCATGGTCATGGAAGAATAGACTAGAGCACCACTTCTCATATTCACCACAGCACTCTTATGAAAACACAGCCCAGTCACACTGTATTTGGCACAGCATTAAAAAAAAAAACCAACAAAAAAAAAAAAACACACACAAAGACTTTTGCAATCAGAACACCAAAGCATTGTCACACCAATCTTAAGATAAAAATGTATTTCTAAAATTTTTTATGTTAGAAAAAGGATATGAATAATTCGCGTTTTTCAATTCCTGATGGCTTGTTATAAGTTTGAAGGAAGAAACAGCCAAGGCCAGCAGCTACTGGGCGAGTGAGCACAGGCTCCCTGGCAACAGTGGAAAGGAGCACGCCCGGGATGGTTCTTAGGGGCGAAGGAAGACAAGCCCCTGCGATGTCCCTGTACTGCAGGAGGCCCATACTTTGCAAACACCCTCAGGCAAAATTTGAAAAAAATATATGTTGAGATACGTGGTTTAAAATTTACTGTGCTGCCCAACCTGTTATATATGTTCCACAGGAAAAGCGATAAAACATTAATAAAATATAACACGTTATCCTATAAAATTTAAAGGCCGTTTAAAACCAAAAGGCTTTGTCTTATTTTCTCATAACCTGAAGTTATGAAAACAGTATAAAGATGTGTTATAAAGGGCCACTGATAGTATTAGGATCCTTTTATAAAAGACTTTAAATAAAGGAAAAACTTTGGAATAAATGGTTAAAATTCACATACCATCTTGCCATTAAAGTTCTTTTCAAGTCTTAAGATCTTCAGTCTGATAAAAACAATTTAATTCCACTTTTTACCACTGCCATTTAAAAATGTGTTTATAGAGCCATTCTATTAGTATAATTAAGGACAATTAACGTTATCACACAGAACAATAACTTTACTGTACATAGTATGTTGGTAAAAATACACATCATACCCAAAATCTGCCCCTTCCGAAATCTATTGACATGTTACAAAAACAGTCCACAATGTTCTTTGGACAAATATTTATAGCCACATTCACTTTGAATTTTAATATCTACTTGCAATTACGGTATCTCATTTATTTTTGTGTATGAAGTTTCCAAACTTCTGCATAAATCCTCGAAACTTGTTTTCATTTGGCTGATACGTGTGGTAAACGTTAGTGTTGTAATTCAGCATTGGGCTGGACCTGCCGTAACTATTGCCCACCGTTGTGGATTTTATTTCTGGGCGGTGTATACTGGCATTTGGCATGGTGCTGGTTGGCTGAATAGAATTCTCAATCTTACAAAACGGCTCAAAACGACTATAAATGCGCCGGTCAGTTGACTGAGTCCTTACAAGCTCACTGGGCTTTGGCCTTGAAGAAGCTGGTTTTCTTAGAGAACCAACAGCATTAATCTCCTTCGAATCTCGGTATTGTATCTGTTCCGTGTTAAATCTCGGGGCAGACGCGTCCCCTGCCCTTTCCAAGAACTTCTTTTCAACTGGACCTGGTGAAGGTATCATTTCATTACTTTCATTGGATGCAGAACTTATCCCCTGAGATGAGCTGACTGTTATATCTTCCTTACTCTTGTGGATGCTGCCTTGAGAGTTTGTTGAGGAAGTACGCTTTCTTCTAGGCGATGAATCAACTTTCGGTTCTGATTTTCTTGGGTTTTGATCTTCAGCCTCAGAAGCTAAAGTGTCAGAACTACTACACATTCTGTAAAAGGGGGATGTTTTACTTTTGGATAGAGTTTCTTTCTTTTCTGGGGTAAGGCTAAGTAAGGACCTTAACTTCTGAGATCCCTTTTTCAAAAAGCTGGGGGAACCCTTAACTTCTTTCTTTGAAGTGAGTTCTTTGTTAGGTTCCTCTTTATTCACATCGAGCAAAGCAGCAATGGAAATTGACTTGGTAGCTGTGCCGCTCGAAGGGTCTCTCTTGACCACCTCCTCCTGCTCTTCTATGCTATTGGTCACATTGTGCATGCTTTTAGAACTTTTCAGCAAATCCTCTTTGGGTTTTTCTGGTTGTCTAATTCGATTCCTGGTAAGTGTGCTATATACATAGTGCTTACTGTTTCCATGATCTAAATTGGCTTTTGAGTAGTCAAAGAATGGGAAACTTCGTCTTTTAAGCATATTCTCATTTGGTTGATTCTTTAGATTTTCTGTCTGCTTATTTACACACAGATTTGTATATAGATAGTTGTTTGACTCTGTCCTCTGGCCACTCGTAGCTTGGCTTAAGACTGCAGAGTGGTTTTCGGGAACCTGCGAGGTGTGCATTTTTGGCATCTCTGACTCTGATGGTGGCTTGGAGCTTGATTCTGGCAAGGGTTTGTCTGTCGAATGCTCTACACTCGTAGGGGTGTCTGGGATCTCTTTAGGTGTGTCACTTCCCTGGGAACCAATGATAGTTGAATTTGAGGAGCCAGTTGCACAACTATTAACTTCCTGCTGCTCAGGTAAGGTTGGTTTAAACACAAGAGAGGGGCGAAGCCGTGAATGGGTATAAAGGGCATTGGCTTTCAAATTTTCAGAACTATCATAGCTCTCAAGCCGGTCACCTAGAGCCGATCCATTAGAATCAGGTGAAGCTTCTGAATGATCATTCAAGTAGGATTCAATTCTCCAGTTACGCAAGAATGACTTCGTGGTATTCTCAAGGGTTGGCATTCGTTGTTGCAGAAAGCGAACATGATTATCTGTCCCATTAAAAGACCTCCGCACATTTGAATTCCTTTCTGCAAAATGTGTTGTCTTCCTCTGGGCAAGCCAATTGCCAAAACTTTGGGGAGGTGCGTTCTGGTGGCTTGCATAGCCTCCGCGTGATGAAGATGCCAAACTATCTGAAGACTTTTTCCAATTACCAGGAGGACTGATGGTTCGATTCACAGTCCTATTCAGCAACAGGTATGATGCTGTTTCTGGCTGTTCCCCAGCATAACTATGCCTCTTCCAATTTTCATTCTGACTGGGCTGACACTGACGGATTGCATTTGGACCATTAAAATTTGGAACAAAATGAGGTTTATATCCATGATTTCTTATGCTATATTTGTCATGGTCATTCCGGGTATATATCCCTCTTTTGAAGTAACTAGAATCTAGTTTATGAGCGTTGTCTTGTCTACCAAGAATGTTTCTTTGGCTAGAAACAGAAGCTAATGAAGAGACTGAACGCTGGTAAGTGCCATTCTCCCACAGAGCCTTGCTATGCTTCACCCGGGCTGATTCTTCCTGAGCGAATGAACTGGGGACACATGATCTGGCATAGAGAGTTCTAAATTCTTCATCAAAGGACTCAACAAGATGTCCTGTGATTATCTGAACCATGCTGAGGTGAGCTTTTTCAAATGACCACATATAGCTGCAAAAAATAAAAATAGGAAAATTTTACATTTGTTGAGTTAAAAGATATATAGTTCTACTAAGAGAAATGTGTCATTTCATGTTGACAAGAGTTTTTCTTTTTTCCTTGACTACCATAATTGAGAACACCTCCAATCACTACATGCCTGTAATATGGATATGTTGCCCACTTCCATATTCATACTTTAAATAACAAATCAACTCAGGTCTTGGGTTTAAATCCACCACAATTTCTTACACTGCTTATGAGAAGTCCCAGGAAAAGCCACTTTGCATTTTGCATCTCTGCCTAGTAAGAATTTGTAGGGGAAAAAAATGCATCCTGGCAGGGTTTGGGCAAGCTTACATTCCAGGAAAGGTTGAGAGACCTGGCCTTTGCGGAGCTCTCTAGTCACATGACGTTGGGACTCTGTTTCCTCCTATCCAAAATGAGGAAATAAATAGCAGAGTTGCTACAATTCCTTATAATTCTAACATGTTACAATGCAAGATAGGTCTTTACTAATACATATATTTTTCTCTCTGTGGCTTAGTAAATGTAATTTAGGATTCTGAGGGTTGTAAACAGAGAGAGGATTTGTGGGCAGCAGCCTCAGTCATTAAACAGTGTACTCAGAGTATACAGGATTGGTGAATTTAATCCTCACAAACCATGCCAGTCAGAATGCCAATTAAGATCTTTTAACGCAGGTAGAGTTTCTAGGAAAATGAATTTATAACTGCTTTACAGTTCTTTGTGGAACTTCTAATCCCTTTTCCAGAGTGTAGAGCCAATAGTTATCTTGAAATTTCATGTAAGATTTTAAATATGATGTTCAAAAATCTGAATAGTTAAACATACAAAGCCACTGGGCTGAAAAAGAAATAAATCACTAATATGTTATGTAATGTAATAACAGGAATTTATTGTTTATAGAGGGGAGACAATAATGAAGGCAGATGAAAATGTTTTAAAAAAATATGCAGAGTAATAATTTAAAATACATAATATATTATCAACAGCAGTCTGCAACTTAATTATTCTGATATGTTTAATTTTATTTAGAATACTTACTGAATGGATGGTATGAGCAGGACATTTACTAGGTGCTTTGTATTTATAGATATGTTGGCCACCAGCCTGACTTAAAAGATATGGTACAAAAGTGAATTATTTGAGAAGTTTTTAATCCGGCTCATGAAGACATGAGTACAAAATATGTTGGAAACAGCACATAAAGGTATGAATAATCAGCTATCGAATGTAAGAAAATCCCTCAAGAAGTGAGATTTTAGCAATATTTTGATAGAAACTAGATAACCTTGAAGTTAAGACAGGAAAGGTCTGGGAGGACAATTTGTGTGGAAGAAGAAACATAGAAAAAGGAAGCAAAATGGCCATGTATTATAGAAAACTAAAATCAGCTTATATTTAACTGAATTACAAACACAATATAAGAGATGGATGAACACTGAAAGCAAAGTTTGCATAGAATCTGATTCCAAGTTTGAATAAGTTCTAATAAAAAATATATGTTTGAAGAATTATTTTTTCTTCACAGCTACTTGTATTATAGACTTGAAAGATGAGGAATTTAGTTTACTATGATGAGTAAAGTAGTTAGAATAAGGTGATAAGAGACAACACCAGAGCAGAAATTGAAATAATGAGTAAAATTATTGAGCCAGTAACAAAAAGAAAGAATAAGAATATCTGCACATCATAAAGGATATGCGTAGGTTATGAAATAAGAATTACCTGTAGGTATGAAACTTAGGAACCTGAGAAGATAGTGGTGAATGTGTAGCAATTGGGAAAGATTCTATGCTTTGGTAAACCCAAAAATAATATTGTAGTAGAATTTCAGATAATAGAAAGACATTCAATTGGAAATATTTAATTTAGAGATTATTCTCTTGAAACACTGAGCATTCCCAGAAATAAAAGAACTACTTAGGCCAACATTAAGGGATCTTCCTGTATAATTTCCAGGATCCCAGCCAGTCACTATTCTGTGAACTATCTGTTGATAAGCATTTCACACAAAATTTCTAGTGAGTTCTATACTCCCTTATTCTTAAATATAAAGACATTGCAGGAGATTGGTAGACATTACATACAAGAAAACTTAGAAGGTCGCTTACAAAGCTTAAAAGCTTAGATGCAAAACTGAAAGCAAACCAAACACACATAAAAAAGGCACCCAGAGGAAACAGAAAATACACAAATAAGAATACATATAGATACACACACGCAATTAATATCTTCAAAGAAATAAGAGGGAAGATTATAACTATAAAACATGAACAGAATGCTATAGAAATATTTCAAGTAGCAGACATTCAAAATATATAGCAAAATTTAAAAAGAAAGATATAATAGAAGTCTTGAAAGATGTAATTGAGAAATCCCCCCGTTAGTGTAATGTCCCCCACTCCTGGATGGAAAATTGTATGGAAAAAAAAAATACAGTGGAAGCAGAAATCTGGTTCATAAGAATTCCAGAGGGAGACAACAGAAATAATTGAGTAGAAGAAATTACCAAAGAATAAATAAGAAAACTTTTCAGAAGTGAAAGGTGCAAGAATTTGGAGTGCCAGAACAACAAGAAAAAAGAGGGCCTAGATGCAAAAGCATCATAATAAATTTGTGAATAGCATGGAATAAAACGGAAATCCTAGACACTTCCAGAAAGGAAAAAAAAAAATAAAGTTACATGAAGAAAACTGCAATAACAATTGTTTGAGACTTCTTAAATAACAATTTGAATGCAGGGCAATGCCTTCCAAATTTGGAGCAAAAGGGATACAATTTAAGAGTTTCATCCCTTGTTAAACCATAAATCATCTAAAATTATAAATTTGGGGGTTTAAAAAATCCCACACTGATAGAAATGTTTCTGATCAAACTTGGGAGGAAAATCAAGACTTGGAAACAAAAATGAATTTAAAAAATGGGATTAAAAATGGGATTTTACAAACTGTAGTTCAAATTACCCAGGAATATAGGAAATACCAGGATCCCAGCTGTGCTCCAAGTTAAAGACCTGCTAGTCCAGACTGGATATCACAGATTTTTGGTAGTACCTTAGCATTTGGAAAAGTTTTTATGTACTAAGAAATCAGTAGACAACTGGGAAAAAAAGATAACAATAATTAAATAGAAAACAAAGACAATGAATAAAACCAAAATAAAATGGTCATTATTAACTTTGTTATGAAGAAAGAAACAATCATAAATCACTCCATTGCTCATTAATGATCAATTTTGATACAATTTCAGTAATGTAATCCCATTCTTATCATTTAACAAAAAAATTGTAATAAAAATGTATTGGGTGAATGGGGACCAGTAGAGCAATTAGATATGAGTGGTTACAAAATATAACTCCTCAATTACCATAATATAAAGTCAAAATATCATATCTAAAAGTGATAAATCAAGAAACAGCAGTATAATCACATGATTTAAGAGAATGACATACAAAGAACTAGCTAAAAAATTAAATAATTGTATCTGGAGGTAAGGAATTAGGAGCATATTGAGATGGAGTTTAAGGTATGTTTAAGATATGTTTTGTATTGTGTTATCTTTTAGTAATACTTGGTTTTTAAAAAATATGCACATATATTTACTTGGATAAATATAAAAAATTATTTTATATTATTTTTCAACCACAGCTTATATGCAACACCATTCTGCACCAAGTTTCATATATACAGGAAATGGCCGGTAAACCATGCACTCTATAAAGTGGTCCCCTCAGCTGCTCCAGGTACCTACTGGGTCCCATACTCAATTATATTAACGTTATTGACTATATTCCCTGCATTGCAAACTGCATCTGTGGCTATTCTGCAACTACTAATTTGTACTGCCTAATGCCTTCTGCTTTGTTGCCCAGCCTCTCAACCCTCTTCCCCTCTGACAGCTCTCTCTGTATCATAACTTACTACGCTATCCCCTCCAAAACAGACTGTTATACATTCATCATGAAGTTGGGAATGTAGTTGTCGATTCACATATTAAAAAGTGGTTCAAGAACTCTGAGTTTCTGGTTGGGAGTAATAAAGTGAAGTCCATGGAGTGAAAATAGTGACTAGTTGCAGCATGGATTTCTAAATGTGATGATCTTCAAGTCTGAGCAAAGATGGCACTTTAGAGCCAATAACTTCAGTGAAATGTATCTTTTGAAAGTAACTCTTATTAGTATCATAATACTTAAAGAAAAAAGCTTATGAAATTCTGTCAATCAAATTTGTGGAAAATGTTAAATATCTTCCAGATTTTCATATGACACCTTGAAATGAGGGTATCCAATACAAAATATGATTTACACACACTGATGAAAAGTATATGATTGTTTTATCTTGTCAGTGTTAGTGTAGTGTTGGGATATGGCAAAATGCTTATGTTTTGTTGATAAAACCATCATGATGACGAGTGAGCTGTCACACAATTGTGACTATGGTGAGTACAGACACCAAGCCTGCCTAGAAATGCTGAGAGCTTAAAATATGAAGACATTTTATGGAAAAGAATTTTGAAATGAAGAAGAAGGCATTTTGGACTTGCTTATGAGGAAAACAATTACAATTACAGAATGTGAGAGACAAAGGATGGTTTTAACCAAATGGAAATTAAATTTTAGCCAGTTTCTATGAAGACTGGTTCATCACTGTTCCACTAGATCCTGTTAAAATATTGTTAATAGGAGAGGTTCATGATAATTAGTGAGAGAAAACAAAAATGACAAGAGCTGACAATCATTATTTCTTAAAGAAATATATTTAAACCATACATGAAATCATAAAATAGTTGAGTTGTTAGATAAAAAGTTTTGATGAATTTTTACAATCTGTGGTCCTAGGCATTCACTGAGATGACATTAACTAGCAGACACCATTCTATAAGTCAAGTGAACTCTCAATTTTAATTAAAATTTCAATTAAAATCCATCTAAAAGTAATCTGAACTAACATATACACATATAATGAGTCTTTAAAAGGATTCATTAATTTTAAGCACTAGCAGTAACTTTTATTCTTAGTATGTTTTCCTTTAGAACTCCAAACTACATTTTCAGAAAAGGATCCCTTAGAAAAGGGAAAGTTAGCAGACAACAGTTAAAAAAAAAAAAACAGGGCCTAAAATAATAGTTAACATTAGAGGTTTTGGATGCATAACTCTAATTCTCACATCAATAACGAGGTAGTTCTACGATTACCCTTACTTCACAGAGGAGCAAGCTAAGGTGCAATCAAGTTTAGTAACTTGCCCACAGCCTTCCATTTTACATGGTGCCTCCTTCTTGTAGACTTTGTAAGTTCCTAAGGTTTCCTCTCACACTGCCCTGTTTATATCTACAGCTTTCTGGGCTTCCTCCCACAGTCTTTAATGATGCATCCACTGTGCCCTGGTGACCTAGCAGCGCACATATGCTTGCTGGTGCTTTCATCAGCCTGTTGATGTAGCCTCACTGTGTATCCCATTCAGGACTGGTGGCGGAAATTTATAACAGAATATTAGGGCAGCACTTACACTCTGGAGCCAGCAAGATCTGGACTGTGCTGCCAGGCCTGGGTTGTCTGTGGCCCTTAGCTGTGGGGTTTTAGACAAATCTCTTAAACTATTGGAACTTCAATTTTCAACATTTATAAAATATAGATGAAAACAACAGCCTTGAAGATAAGTTATAGGGACAGGGTTAAAATATGCAAAAGAGCTAAGCTAGGAGAGAGTAAATGATTGATAACGCTGTAGGTAAACACACACTAGGGTATTATGAAAAAGTCAAGAAATAGGGACTGTTGGGCCAATGTGATGAACAGGAAACCCTTGTGCACCGTTGGTGGGAATGCAGGTTGGTGCAGCCACTGTGGAAACAATATGGAGGTTCCTCAAAAAATTAAAAATGGAACTGCCTTATGACCTACTAAATTCCCCTCCTGGATATTTATCTGAAGAAAACAAAAAAACCCCACTAAGAATGATATCAGTATCCCTATGTTCACTGCAGTGTCTATTTATAATAGTCAAGATATGGAAGCAACCCAAGTGCCCATAAAAAGAAGAATGAAATCTTGCCATTTGCAATAATATGGATGGACTTGAACTCATTTTGCTAAGTGAAATAAGTCAGAGACAGTCAAACATGGTATGATCTTCCTTATATGCAGAACAACAATGAAAAAAAAAACCAAAAAGATAAATTTATAGATACAGAGCACAGACTGGTAGTTGCCAGAGGAGGAGGGAGGGATATGGGATGAATGAAATGGGTAAAATGTCAAAAGGTACAAAGTTTCAGTTATAAATAAATAAGTGCTGGAGATGTAGTGTATGTAATGTACAGTGTGGTGGCTGCAGTTAATCATACTATATTGTATATTTAAAAGTTGCTAAAAAAGCAATCTTGAAAGTCTGTATCACAAGGAAAAAAAGTTTTTTTGTAACTATATATGGTGATGAATATTAACTACTTATTGTGGTGTTCATTTAGCATTATATACAAATATTAAACCATTATACCTGAGACTAATATATATGTTGTATGTCAACTGTAACTTCATCAAAAACAAGAACTACGCAGATTACACTAAAATGTAAAACTAGTAAGTTCTATAAATGATTATTAATTTGAGAGGTAAACATAATAATCTTACCTGTAAGAACCATACATAACTTTCTGGCAGTCAATTAACAAAAATTTCTGTTCCAATTTCCCATAAAATTTGGCTCCTGTTTTTGAAAGATATTCTTGGCCTTTTACTGTCCGCACTCGAATATTCTAGAATTATACATAAATAAAACATAAAAATTAAGGCTAGAAGGAAAATATTTTAAAAAGTAAAATACATGTTAATAAAAAAACCTTAGTACTAAAATGTATACTTGAAATAATTTTTAAACACATAACCAAAAAATAGTGAAAAACAAATTTTAAAACATCACCCAAAAAAGAAATACTCTAGGAAAACAGTAATTTAAAATATGGAGATATTATTTTACATTTACACAGGATATTTTATAAATCACTTAGGATCCTATTGCAAGATCCTTTCAGGTTATAGATTCATCATGTCAAAGAAACTAAAATTAAAATGCATCAGACTTTAAAAGGTCAAATGTAACTGAAATCCCTATACCAAATGATTGTGATAAGCAATATCTGCTGAATGAAAAAAATCACTCAAGTCAATGGTTTCAAGGTTGCACATGCAAAACAGATGCATTATGACTGGTAGCCAAAGTAAACTCAGAAGCTCAAGTGTCTCACTGTCAAGAAAGGCACCAGATAAATTTGTCATGCGGATGTGTTTTCAGTTACATCTGAAAAAGTACAAAAGGAAACCTTTTGCGATCAATCATTATTCTACCTTAAATTTTATATATGTGTGTATGTATACACACACGTACATTTTTTAATTTTACTTTTGTAGTATCATAGTTTAACATGTCTTAAATTCAACTGAGACAAAAATAGTGCACAATCTATAAAAACAATACCTGAGCAAAAAAACATGGAACTCTTACCCTGAGACGTTGAACTTGACAACCCTGTTTTTCAGTCATACTTAGGAAATGATTAAATTTGGATTCATCGAGCAGAATGTATACGGACACCCCTCGAGTTGATGCCTCCACTATTTCTTTGAAAATGTCCACATCTGTAAACATATCCATCACTAAGGCAATGACCTATTAAAGGTAAGAATATCAGAAAATTTTAGATACCCAATAGGGAAAGATCTAGAACTTGGTGCTTTCAATAAAAATTGGATAAAATAGGAAACTAAATAAATACACATAAATGTATACACAAATATTTGTGTTTTCTGAAGTAGAAAATAAAAGTATTTTGAAAATAAACAAATGACTATATACAGATATGAAACACTAATTTCACACAAGCATTAAGTCAAAGGAACCTGTATTTCAGTACAATGTCAGATGACGGGAAAATCTGAATAAAGGGTTACCAGGTTGCCTACAGGGTAGGTGGAGGGGACAGGTAGGTGGCAGTGGCAATCAGTACTACAAATTTACATGAGAAACATTTTCAAGGAAAAGCAAGACTTCTGGAACTAGAATAAAAGTCTTGGTGGCCTGGGACAGAGAAAACATACCTTCTAGAAATAAAAATATAACTAAGAAAGGGCCAAGAGGAGAAAGTGTATAAAAAGATTTGACTTGAAGACCAGAAAACTAAAAATATGTACCTAAAATTAAAAAAAATTTGCAACACAACTAAGAAGGTAAAAGCAGAGAGGAATATACAAAGAACAGGCCCCTAAAATAGAGAAAGTCCAAGTTAATTGTTTGGAAAAGAACCATGACTGACTCTGAGGAGTAATGGGAGTGAAATAATCTCAAAAGGGAAAAATCATTTTATTGACCACCCACTATGTGTCAGACAGGAACGACCAAATGCCTGCCCTTTGTGCAACTTATGTTCCAGTGGGGGAAGACACCATAAGCAACTGACATAATAAATAGATAAATTATATGATAAGCTATAAGATGATAATTTTATCAGGAAAAATATTGCAGGATAAGGGGGACCATGGGCCCCTGGAAACTGAGGAGGGGTTTGAGGGTTTCAGGTCTCTGAGCAAGTGTCCTTTGAGCAACAACAGAGAAGGAACTGAGGAAGTCATGAACGTGGGTATCTTGAGGAATTACGTTCTAGGCAGAGGAAACAAGCAGTGCAAAGGCCCTTTGCCAGGAGCATGCCAGGCACATTCAAGAAATAGTAGGGGGATAGGAAAAATGAAATGAGAAAAGGAGAGCGTAATCACAATTCTGTGGAGGCATTATTGAACCTTCAGCTTTTTCTTTTCTGAATTAAATTGTAAGCTGCTATGGCTTTCACATTGAGAAAATAAAATGATCTGACTTAGATTTGAAAAGTATTGCTCTAGCGACTGTGTTAACAATAGACTAACAGGCTTTAAGGGTCAAAGCCATGGTGGAAACAGGGAGGCCCTTTAGAACTATTGGAGCAACTCAAGTGGGAAGTGCTGGTCCTGGTCCTAGTTCCCATCAGTGATAAAGAAAAAGGGTCAGATACTAGACATCTCAGAGCCAAAAGGACTTCTGGATATATTATTCATGGGATGTGAGAGAAAAAAGGAGAAATAGAGGGTGATTCTTAAACTTTTAGCCTCACCAACCTGAAGAACCGAGTTGTCCTTAACTGAAATAGTGAAGAGTTCAGCTGCATAAATTTTAGGTAGAATATTAAAAAGGCAAGTTAAGTTTGAGGTGCCTAGATATCCAAGTGGAGTGCTGAGTAGAGAAGTATAGGCCAGAGATATCAGCTGGGTGTCCATGGTGTAGAATGGCAATTAATTACAAGTCACCAAAGAGACTGGATAAATAGTAAAGACCAAAGACAGCCCTGGGACAAGAAGAGGTACAGCAAAGGAGACAGAAAACAAAGAGAAGGTAGTAATCTTGGAAGTCAAGTTAAGATAGTGTATCAAGAAGGAGTGTGTGCTCAAGGGTGTCAAACCCTACTGGTAGGCCAAAAAACGAGGATTACTGTAAAAATTCACTGGGTTTAGTAACATATAGGTTATTAATGAGTTCCACAAGTATAATTTTAGTGGAGTGGTAAAAGCAAAAGGCTTATTAAAAGAGGAATAGGAGGGAATGGGAGTAGCAGGAACAGATAACTATTTTTGAGTAATTTGGCTACAATGAAAATCAGAAAAATGGAGAGGTAGGTAAAGCTGGGTCAAGAGAAGTTGTATTTTTTTTCTTTTGTTTTAGGTGAGAGAATTAACAGCATGTCTGTATGCCAGTGAAAGGCTCTAGTGAAGAATGAAACTTAATGATGCAAGAGATGGTGGGATAAGGAAGAAGAGAATTTCTGGAACAATGTTTTGAGTAGGCAATAAAAGATAATACCTAGCAAAAGAAGTAAAGTAATTAGAGCACAGAGAATAAAGACCCATAACAGACCATTGGTACAATCAAGCTAGAAGGCCAAGTGTAAGTGTGCAGATGCCGGTAGACAAGCTGATGGGGGTGATGGTACTATGGAAGTTCAAGTCTGAATGCTTCCATTTTTTCAGTGAACTGGAAAGCAAGGTCTTCAACTGAAAAGATGGTGAGTTACAGAAGGCATGTTAAAGGTATGAACAGAGGGGCATTAAGGATTCATCTAGGGTGGTGGGAAAGGGAATAAACTATAGATATATAGTATGATTTCAGGGCAGCACCATAGCAGCTTACTCACAGGATAAAAATTTAAAATGAGACCAATAAATGTGGTTGTGAGTTACTCTCAACTTTGTTCAGCAGCAAGGGTACAGGCATGGAACAGGCAAAGAGTTTTATTTAACCAAGGATGCAGTTCTGGCCAGGAGAGTAACAAAGTGGGAGAAGGAAGAGGAATCAAGGGGTATGTAAAGTGGAGATAAAGAGAGAAAAAGAGGATATCATCAATAAGAGAGGTGTGAAAGGAGTGTAGGGTTAATGAATCTGAGTTCTTGCTGAGCCTAAAGGATGGTTAGATATTAAGGAATTGTTAATGTTTATGCTTCCTGTTATGTAATAATAAAGAAAATAAGATGTCATCATATATATATATATATGTGAATGAAACGTTTCCTTACATTTACCTCACATTAAAATAGATGAAACAAAATTGGCAATGAATTGATCATTGTTGAAGCTGGTTGATGGTACATGAGAATTCTCTTTACTATTCTTCCTACTTTTGAAAAATTCCAAAGCACAAACTTAAAGTAATATTGGATATTAGCAGATACCAGAAAGAATAAGTCAGAAATACAAGTGGTAATCAGATGGGGATATATGAAATAGGGGGTATAAGATGTGCAGTTATAGGCTCTGATATTATAAAAAATATGATTGGGATTAAATGGGTAAGAAATGTAGGACAAAATCATGGGCAGAGAGAAGGCCAATGAACTGGTCTTTAGAAGGATATCTTACATGTATATTGAAATTGCCAGGAACTGAGACAAGAATGGCATTAGAAAGAGTAATTGAGAATAAAAATCATCAAGAAATGAGAGGAAATGGAATGACCTGGAAATAGACACATGGCAACAACAGCCAGGATAATGTAATGCCTACACTGTGATAAAGGAGGGTCTGGCAGAAGTAATGTCTGCTTCGGTGTGGTTGGTAGGGTGATCATATGGGTGTAATAAAATTTATAGTTTTAATTGAACATTTCACCTAAAATGTCATATGGTATGCTTGAGTGTGATACTGTTATGTTACAGAATTACATGCTCATGATTTTTTAATGAAAGATTTTGTAATAAAAAAGAGGCATTATTTGTGCCAAGACCTGCTGTATGTTAGAAGATGAGCAAAATCATGGATAATACATTAAATCATTTTACTCTAATAAGACATAAAACAAAAACTGAACCATGCATAAATTATACAAGTTGATGGCATTCTTCAAACTACCTGTGAAACATACTTGAATTAGATTTTCTCTATGAAGAACAACTTTGATCATGTCTAGTGGCTTCTCATTATCCTCTTATTTATAAATGGTATGAGGTGCCAGAAGAAGGAAGAAGCTACTGATAACAGCCCCACTCATGTCTTGTGAGTATCCATTATAACCACAAAAATGTGAAAACCCTTCAAATCACATTCATAATTATTGAGTTTACTCTGTGTTGAGTGGTGTGATGATGTATGGATGCTGAGATGAAAAAAATGTCCATATTATATACAAATTTTACAAAATCACTCTTAGAAATATGTGTCTGCAGCAGTCTGGCACCAATTATTTTTTTTTAACTTGAATTGAATTTGTAAAATAAGGAAACATTATTATGCAACATAGTATTCTTTAAGGCATTATCAGCTTCTGATAACGGCACCATCACTTGATATGCTGAAAAATAATATAAAGTCTACAGAGAACTCAGTTGTACCAAGAGAGGTAAAATAAAATGTAGTGTTTCTTTTTAAATGAACGGTGGGTCACTTTTCTGGAAAGGAATAAATAATTATAAATGATGTATGCCAAACCTGATCAGAAGGTATTATATTCTCAGTTATCTAAATCACACTCTTAGAAATGACCACAATGGCTATATATAATTAAAGAAATATATACCTGATTAGGATAAGGCTTTTCAAAAGGTACATCAACTGATTTTATAAGTCAGTACAGAAACCAGTTATGTTAAATGGTATTCAAGAAACTACCAAGACATTGTATACCATTTAAATCCTTCTCTTGCTTCTCCATCAATCCCTGTTTTTTCTAGCTTTATAAATTGAAAAAGTAAATAAATAAACAGCCATCACCAGCATGAGACAGAAATTTTTAGAAAGATATTACAAATTGTTTTTAAGATTTGAGTGAAACTTCACATGTTTTAGGAGTTTCGGAGAATCTGACTCAAGCATGATGGTTTTCACTTATCTCTCTCAAAGCAGTCAATTCTCCTGAAGTGACCAAGACAGTGGAGGTCACACTGAATTAAAATAATATTAATACTGACAATACATTTATGATAAGTTCATGTTCATGACACAATTTAAGAACATGCAGAAAAATACCTAATCACTTGTTAAGTAATATGCTATAATAATTCAGAAAAAAACTGCTTTATACATATATGGGTGCTATGGGTGGGTATATGGTAGAGTGAAACAAACTAACAGGGTTTTGTGGAAAAGCCTTAAATAAT